CACAAAGTCAAAAGAATTTAAATTTATCTACATAAAAATAAATAATCCCTAAATAGTGTCAATAATTGATTGGCAGTAAGGCAGACACAAACGACTAATACATAATCACCCACGACCCTAGTCGCAAAAAGCATTTGCTTCATAATAACTGACAATGTGTACATACATAGATTATAAAATAAAATTAAACTTTTTATGGTAAAGCGAACATTAGTAATACCAAAACTCACATAAATTTTGATCCATTAGACCTTCCTATTACTCTAGTACTCTTATAACGTAGACAAAAAATTGTTTCACTATCCCCGTAAAATGATTGAAAAGTGATTGGAAAAGTCTTATTTTATTATCTAAGTATAATCTTATTATTATTATTTCTGATTTGTGTCAAGATTATGTCTTTGAATTAATTCGAAGTATAATTTTGCGTTAGTTCTTTTGCTATTGTAAAAAACATTTAAAATGTATATTGTGGAATAGCTTTTTTTTTACAAAATTAATTGTGTATTATTTCAAAAAAGAATTTATTTCAAATACAAAATAAATATTGACTGTTTAAGTAATCTTTTTGAGAAAAATAATATTTTCAGCTATGACTGTAAAGATCTCCAGAAAAAGCATAAGATTTATATCATAAAAAAAAAATTAAAAATTCTTGTTAGATTAAAATTTGGTGATAAATTCTCTTTGCTAAAAATTAACCAGCAATAAATCAATAATTCACACAATAAAAAAAATAATTTTGTGATGTTTATATTTTTTGTATAAATTATTTATTTAATTATAGTTTTCAGCGCTCTTGGATTCCTATAACGCGAAATCCATATAAAACGTTACATATATCTAACGTAATAAAGAATTTGTTTATTTCCATTGATCTGTTGTTTTTAACACTGGATTTGAAGACTGAGCCAGTTTGACTCATTTCAAATTTTTTTTTTTACATATATATAAAACTTAAATATTATATTTTAAAAATATATGTTGATTTTTATTGCTATAATGAAATGTACGTCATTTTAATTCTTCTCTTCTTCCAACTTCTTTATTCAAGCAATACTTCTAAGTTTTTAAAAAATAGTGAACAAAACATCCGTAAATCTAATGTTAAATATAATATTACAGACAACAGGTGTAGCAAGCTCGAATGGTCCTAATTTTTAATCAAATAAATTTTTTTTAGTCAGCGTTGATTTAAATCTTAAATAAGATCTTATCTTATATTATGTTGCAGCCCTATAAATGTAGAGAACGACTGTATGTGATACGAGAAAAGAGGAAGTTAAATACCGTTATTCTAGAGGTTCAATAACAAAGATCGTATATAAACATTATCATAAAAATATTTAAAAGGTGAAATTTGTGTTGTAAAAGAAAGAGCGAGCGAGTAAATGCTAGAAAGTAAAAAAGCGATAAGTCTAATTTGTTTAATAACGATTAAGAGAAACCGTTGCAAAAAGAATTAAAGATAAGATTAAATAAAAAAAAATATCATATAAAAGACATAGTAAGAGTAGGAATAAAAGAAAGATTAGCGAATTTAAAGAGTATAATAGCTAATTAGAAAACTTAAACATAAAAGTAGGATAAACTAATTAGTAAGTTTAATAAGAATACGATAAGCGAACAAAAAATATTGTAAATTATAAATCAAATGTGAAAAGTTAAAGTTTTAGTTATTGCCTGTATTTTAATATGAAAACGTATTTATTTAATTATTCTAAATTTCTGTAGAAATAGCTTTCAAATATTATAAGTCATCATTGTAATTATTAACATTGTTAAAGAATTTAAAATATAAATAACTTTTAAACAAGATACAAAATCAAAAAACGAACTTATGAATAATAAAACAATCTTATGAAGTGTAACTGTTATAAAATTCAAAATAATCGGTTAAATAAATCTTGAGATATCTTGTCTACCATCAGGAAAACAGGGCTCTACAAATCAGCCTATATCTCCAACATTTTTTTTTTCTTAATTTTAAATATTGTAAATTATTCATATAAGTACTATGTATATATATGTAGAATGAAAATTATTTTATTAAATTTAATGTCTGTGTTAAAAAAAAAGATTAAATTTATAGCTATTTTTCCAAGCGCCAGGGTGGTGTAATCCCTTTATGACATTCTGACTAATCGAAACAATTCATTTTCTGAGGTACAGAATTTTGAGAAGAATTTTGAGAGCAATAAGAGAAACCGCCATTACCTCTTTTATTTTATCGTAGGCAATCTGGGATGTGAAAACAGATTTAAAACAATTGCTAGCTAGGGGACGACGGTCAGTGAGATAATTCTTATATTCTTATAAATTTTTTCAAATTTGGCACACTTGTAATAGTCTATGAAAATATTTATTGTACTTTTAACCTCTTAGGCAAAGTTAAATTTTGCACGTTACTGTTTCTTTGTACGGCAGGGTTCACCGAGAATTGCGTATAAACGGTACAACTACAATATGTGACGAGCAATGCTGTTCTCTACGCGAATACATTAAAATAAAGTGTTTAATGATTAAATTATAATTTTTCTTAAAAACATGATTCACATATTTTAACTTCAAAAATTTACTAAAATAATTTACTATTAAGTTAGTGCACAAATAGTAAGCGATAAGGTGAACTACTATAATTGCACGTCGTGCCTAAGAGGTTAAACATGGCGTATATGTTCAGCGGTCTGCGAAAAAACGCGGATTGAAATTTCACATAGATACGTATTCCTTTAGCTGTAGTATTAATGCAAAATAGTATTACTGCACAGTAATCACAATAGCGATGCTTTTGTTTTGAAAAAAATGTTTTTAAAGACGTCGAGGAGCCAGTCAGTGTAATTGAACCTAAAACCAAGTTGATATTCATTGAAACAGAATAATAGAATACATCTTTAAATATTAATACACATGTCGCCCGACATACACTGAAAATATGTTCCTCAGAAAACAGTGTAAAACGAGATCGTAGATTTTTAAACCTAAAACCGTGTAAATAAAAGAAAAATTAAAATGTACATAATTCAGTCATTTATTTAAACGTAAAATAAAACTAAATATATCTTAGAAAACAAAAATAACAATTTATTCATAAAATGATACAAATATAAAGAGCAGGGGGGGGGTATATGTATGTAAGGGTGGAAGAAAGACGAAGAGTGCGAGTGTATGGTGTGCATGGAAACAATTGATGAACGTGAAAGATTTGTAAAAATATGTAGCGATATGGATTGAGTGAGAGTGTACGCAGCGATATGAGTATGAGTGTGAGTACGTGTAGCGGTATGAATACGAGTGTGTGTGGCAAGAAAGAAAAGCGAGCGTGCATTGCGATATCAGCTGATGTTATCGTTTTGTAAGCACCCCGAAATTTCTCGAATATTCCCGAACCGGAAATCGGGAAGAAGTCTTTTGTTTGATCGGTTGGGAATAGTCTGAAGATTTCGAAAATGATTAACGGAAGTGATTGGGACCATTGGTAGGGTGAATGCATATATAAGCGCGGTGAAGAATGCGGTCCTCGCCTTCTTGATTCGGTGTAACTAGTGAGTGTTATACGAATGTGGTTACGGTTTCTGACTATTGTTACTTACTTTTTCTTTTAGATTTTTATATTAAACCTTAATATTTAAGTATTTGTTATAATATAATATTATATATCATTTTCTTTGACTATTAATCTTTTATTCCTGTTTAGTATGATGTTAATTTCATCGCTCGATATGGTGGTTCTTGGAAGTGCGTTGAACGAACAGAGTGCCGTACGCAATGTGTAAATTATACACAAGTATATTGTTGAAGACCGATCATACAACGCTGCGAAATTCCCGTCCAAGCAAGACTAAATTAAGGAGGCTGGATAGGAGAGAATCGACCAAAACCTAAACCGTCTCTTCGAAGAGGACACTGAAATTTGAACCTAAATCTAAGCCAACAAAGGTGGCTTAGATTGTTCTACAAATGAAAAAAATTAAGCTGAATTTCAGTCGGAATCAGAATCGGAAATATCAAAATTTTCAAAGCTAGGGCTTTTTTTGGTTACCTCAGGTGCATGTTTTATCCTACACTTATCAAAATGTTTTTTGGATACTCGTCCAGACAAATGATTCTGACAAAACGGGCATTTATATGTCATATTACATTCGTGTTTCTGATGTTAATAATTTTTTAACTTTGAAACGTCTCAAATCAATCCGTACATTGATATGGCGCACTTATGTTGAGTTTATTGCACTTTGAATCAGGATTTTTCGTACAATAATATTTAATGTGTTTTCCCAAATCTTGACGTCTCTTGAACACTCTACCACAATAGGTACAGTTTTCGACTTTATTTCCTTTTAATTCATACCAAACGTCCTCATCAAATGTTGTCTCATCCGAATCATTTTGTACTTTCATTTCTTTAATTGGATTACATAGTAGTGAAGAAGCTTCACTAATAATCATAATTTTCGATATTTCGTCGCTTAGTATTTTACTTTTACTTTTTCTTATTCCATCCAAGTTCTCCGTTTCGATCCAATCTTGTGATTCCCGGTGGGCCTATTCTGCGGCCTTCTAAGCTGCAAAGAAGAATTCATCTTGCACCGTTGCTCCTGGTGCACCAGCTACAGAATTGACGACACCACCTACGTTGCTTCGATCACCGGTAACGTGCCATGTTGCAAGGCCAGGATGTTGGGACGTGTCATGGGAAGGTCCTGCTCTGTTCGTATCCCGTTCAATCTCATTTAATTCATTCATGTCATCATCCAGCGTCAAATCTTCGACACTTTCTTCCTGGTCCTCCATATATTCGGACTTTGGCTCAATGAGATTATCGCTTGGTTCAGGATTTAGTGGCATCTGTAGCATCTCACCAGCAGGTTTTGTTAGCTGTGTCATTAAAGTTGACCTGCCGAGAAAGTCCGTTGGGTCCACATTCGTTTTTTCGTCCGCGACAGGTGCTATCGCAAATGCCGGCACGCCCATTTGTTGAGGTATATCGTTGGAGTCCGATGCTTCATGATTTTCAACAGAAGCAGGTATGGACAGTTCATCACTCGCTATCTTTCCAACAAGTAATTTACTTGAAATCCTTATTCAAGAGAAGATCTTTACAACAAACTAATGTATTTCATAATTTTTTATTATAATATTTGCTAAATAAAAATTTAATACTAATTTTTTAAGAAAATAGAAACATTTTTAAATAGAAAAGATATGACACGTTTTGTAAAAAAAAAAAAAACAGTCCACGTATCTTCTTTCTTTATTTCGACCGTCAGTTCCTTTGGACCTTATACTTTTGTCGCATACCTACGTTCTTATCTATGTTTATTCTTCTACCCGTCTATCACTCCTACCTACAAACAGTTTGAGTATCGAAATAATATGTGTCCACTCCTCGTAGTTGGAGACGCACACAAACACACACATATACAACCAGGAGCGATATCTACGAAGCATAGCATAAAGAGGAGACCGAGAATAGGAAAAACTGTATAGCTATATTCTGTCTCATTCTCTCGCAGGCTCAATTCTATCTGTTTGTCTCTTTTTCTCTTCTTACATCCGTTTCGACCTGTTTTCGTTATGCTATTCTGTTACATTTTTTTTCAAATCACCCCTATTCTATAGAAGTTTTTTCTTCAAAAAGAAAATAAAATGCTCATAGAACGTAACATAGTGGACATATTTTTTATTTATTCATATAATGCAAATGGATTGATCATATTGCAGGGGCCATGGTACAAGATCGCGATTTTTAATGTGCACGCGCCGACGGAAGATAAAAAAGACGAAGTTAAAGACGGGTTCTACAAGGAGCTTGAACGCGTCGTGGATCAATTGCCGAAAAATTACATGAAGATAGTCGTGGGAGATTTTAACGCGAAAATCGGTAACGAAGAGTTTTTTATTCAGACGATCGGGCCCGAGAGTCTCCATGAAGAAAGTAACAATAACGGAATAAGGGTAATTAACTTTGTGACCGGAAAAAATTTTATCGTTAAAAGCACGTTTTTTAAACACAAAAATATCCATAAACAAACTTGGAGTTCCCTGCACGGAAATACGTGTAACCAAATAGATCACGTTCTGGCAGATAAACGACGACATACGAACTTAATAGATGTTAAGTCGTACAGAGGGGCGAATTGTGATTCAGATCATTTTTTGGTTATTGCTTAGTTGAGGAAACGGCTTTCCGTAAATAAGAACAATGGACAGCGGATAGGAAATAAACGGATAAACGTAGAAAAGCTTAACAATGGTTCAAAAAAGAATGCGAGTTAGCCATCAAAATCTGAAACGAAACGCGTATCTCGTGGCTGACTAAAATCTAACCCGGGACCAATTTCACAATATTAGGCAAGCGACTCAAAATTAAATTAAAAACAAGAAGCGACAACAATTTTTTAAATAAAAAGTTGAGGAAATTAATGATAATTGCCAAAGCAGTAACGTCCGTGGTATGTACGCGGGGATAAATAGGCTCAAAAATAGATTCCAAGCTAGGACGGATCTAATCAAAGATACGAACAATTTAGTTTCGGATGCAACGGGGATAATAAACACGTGGAAAAATTATTTTGATCGATTATTAAATGTAGGGCCTGAGAACGACCAGGAAACTAAGAATTTCGAGGTCCTTACGGCGGCAGCTATGGTTAGTGAACCAACTATGTTAAAGAAATAAAAAGCTCGATTAAAAAACTAAAGTATCATAAATCACCGGGTAACGACTCAATTCCTGCGGAGCTAATAAAATTGGGAGGGGAGGAAATAGATTAATCGAAGAAATTTTTGAGCTAATCAAATTAATAGAGAGCAAGGAAACATTGTCTGTACAATGGAAAGAGTCGATTATAATTCCAATATTTAAAAAGGGAGACAAAATGGACTGTAATAATTACCGGGGTATTTCATTTTTTCCGACGTGTTATAAAATACTATCAAACATCTTGCTACCTAGGATAGTACCGTATGCAGACCAGATAATAGGAAATCACCAGTGCGGTTTTAGGAGAAATAGATCGACTACAAATCAAATTTTTGCTATTCGGCAGATCTTAGAGAAAAAATGGGAATTTGATCAGCCGGTACGTCAACTTAATATTGATTTTCAAAAAGCGTACGACTCGGTAAAACGAGAAAAAATGCTCGAAATCCTAATACGACAGGGGATACCAAGAAAATTGGTCAACCTGGCTCAACTTTGTCTAAAGGAAACTAGGGATAAAGTGAGGATAGGTAACCAAATGTCGAAAAATTTTAGTATCCATCGAGGGTAAAACAGAGGGACGCATTGTCATCTCTTTTGTTCAATTTAGTACTGGAATTCGCTGTCAAAAAACTGCAGAAAAGTAAAGATGGTCTACAGTTGAAAGGGACCACACAATTGTTGACATACACGGACGATATTGCTTTGTTAGGAGACAATGAAGAGGCATAAATTAATAACGCAAAAAAATATTAATAAATAATACTAAAGATCTGGGACAGCAAATAAGCGCGGAAAAAACCAAATATATAGTAACCGATAGAGTTCAAAATAGGCCTATTACTGGAACTTTAGTCGTCCTGGATAAGACTTTTGAGCAGGTCAGCAACTTTAGGTATATTTAGGATCGATCATAAACCAGACGAACGAAATTAACAATGAACCTAAGAAATGAATCAATCTAGGCAATACATGTTTTTATTCGGTTAACAAATTATTCAGCTCGCGGTTGCTGTCTAGGCGATTATAAATCAGGATATACAGGACAATCATCCCGCAGGTAGTCCTTTATGGTAGCGAATCGTGGTCGCTTACGTTACGGGACGAAAAGAAATTTAGGAGTTTTTAAAACAAAGTTCTTCGTAAAATCTTCGGTGCAAAACGCGATGAGGAAACGGGCGAATGGAGAAAACTCCATAATGTTGAAGTGCATCGATTGTACAACAAACCGGACATTATCAACGTCGTAAAATCACGCTGATTAAGATGGGCTGGTCACGTGACGCGCATGGGGGAGGATTGAACGGCACACAAAATATTGGTCGGTATACCAAACGGGAAAAGACCACTAGGTAGACTGAGACGTAGATGGGAGGATAATATTAGAAGGGACCTGAAAGAAATAGGATACGAAGACCGCGAATGGAAGGATCTCGCTCAGGGACGGGAACAATGGCGGAATTTGGTATTTGCGGCAATGAACTTTCGAGTTCCTAATGCCAGTTAATAATAATAATAATAATAATAATAATAATAATAATCTGAAAGAAATAGGATACGAAGACCGCGAATGGAAGGATCGCGCTCAGGGACGGGAACAATGGCGGAATTTGGTATTTGCGGCAATGAACTTTCGAGTTCCTAATGCCANTAATAATAATAATAATAATAATAATAATAATAATAATAATAATAATAATAATAATAATAATAATACAAATGGATTAAATGGTATGTACATGTGTTTTATTATTTCTCAAAGTATTCAAATGAAATTTAACTTCGCATCAAATTTCAAACTTGCTTTCATGATCACCAATTTTACTGGTGTACGCAACTCTAGTAAAAACAATAATAATATTTATAACTTATTATTTATTTGTTATATAAAAAAAAGGTTTTAACAAATCATATAGCTTTTAAAAAACGTATCGGATAGATTACTATTTTGTTTATCTTATATCTCATGTAAATAAAAATTACATTTTCTATTTTATATTTTGGATTCATACCTTATAGAATCGATGTAAGATCATTATAATATAGGTCACTTAATTCATCTTTCCATATTTAATAGTATAATAATAAAATAAATATGAAGTGACCATAAAAAAATTAAAGGCCATCTTGATATCTTGTACAAAAGTGAATCAAGATGTAAAAATGTTAATTTTACACGCCATATATAAAACTGTATATGCTATTTATTATAATATTTAAAAAATATAATTAACGAATGAAGAGTCTTTTTTGTATTTAGTTTTGATTTACTTTCTCTCTAAATTTATGTTGTAAATCGCTAATCTATCTTCTTCCTAATGTTTTTTATTCTTTATTCTTGTATCAATGTAAAGCATTTTTTATTATGCTCTTCCCTTTTGCATTATTATTAGCATATGTAGAACGTCGTTTCTCGCAAATATCTTTAGTCATCCATCATACAAAAAGGAGAGAGTACGTTCTGTTTTGCTTTATTTTTTTCTACGAAGCAAGTTTACTCACCAAATTGTTATAGTCCGTGCAATTAACGAGATACAGTTTTTCAATGTTGTTTCATTCAATACATACCTGTAACAAAAAAAATTAAATAAATACGCTACGACCGATCAATGATAAAAATTTAATAAAAACTTTTTAATAATACGAATATAATCGATACGTATTTATAGACCGATAACCGGATGATGATTATTAAGGCATAAATATTAATAATTCATGTTGTCATATAAAATACTTATGCCTATTAGGAAAAAGAAACAATGAGCACATTTTTGCGAAAATAAGTGTAGAAAATTTTTATATTTTTAACCTTTTGTTAGAAATAAATTCAAGAAACACTATAAAAAATGTTCCCTTTTCCAAAAACTCTCTTTATTAAATCATATTAGATGTTTCACGAATCGAAATAATTTTTTATTCTTTAAACTTTTTTGTGTTTAGAAAAATACACTAAAAAACAATCTTAATCAAAGAAAAAAGGTGATTATTTAAATTACTTCCCTAAAAAAATAAAAAAATTAACTATTATTATATCATTTTTTTACTTTAATTAATTGTGTATCTATGTAACTATTCTTTTTTATTTACAAAAATCTTGTTTACCTGTTTTTATTAAGGGGTTATATACAGTTAGAATTTTCAAAAAATCGATTTTTTTTTTATTTTATTTTCTTAATGTACATATATTTAAGAATACACACAGAAAATTTCATATCGTTCYGGTGAATATTTTCAAAGTTACAAGCTAATTTGAAAAGGCGTTTCASAGTGCTTGAAGTACAAGGTACAAACTTTAAACGCGTTTTTCTCAAAATGGTGTTATCAAAGTCGGTGACCAACATTACTCGAAAACGGCTAAACCGATTAGTCTCAAATTTTAACACGACCTTCTCAAATATATTTTTTAGTAATTAATCGAAGATTTTTTCTCTCCGATAGATATTTTTTTTTTTATAAACAATTTAAGGCCGAAATTTCGGTGAAGAATCGATTTTTTTTTTTGAGAAACCGCCATTTTGTCAAAAAATTTTATTTTGCTTCTTCCTTCGATTAATTACTAGATTTAACATTATTTTAATGAAATCTGTTTGGTTTTTTAATTTAAGATGATCCAGTTCCGAGATATAGTGGTCACCGCAAAACGTCTTTTTTGAGAGGAGCTCCTGGAGATCAGCTGTAGCTCTTTTTCAAATAAATATTTTTACTAGTACTAAGTCTTAAAATACAGTTAAAAGATACCATAATATGTGTATAAATTTTTGGATCAATAAATTTAAAAGGTTTCTCAGAAAAAATTCTGGAAAATTCACTTTTTTTCGGCCGTCTAACTGTATATAACCCCTTAATTCCCCATGGCTCGCATTGTAATTTACACATTATGCCTTCCCCCAAGCCAAACAAAACAATATTTTTTTGCGCTCCTTGCTGTTTTGCATAATTACCAAAATGTGGATTGATTTGCTATTAGTATCGAACATTTTATCTATTTGTGATGAAAGATTCTAGTGTTACTTTAATGTGCACGCATATGAAACAAATCAATCGACAATTGAACGAAGTATGAAAGGTTAGAGTTAGTTTATTGTTAGGTGTTGTTTGTGTTTTATGTGTGTTTTGTGTGGGTTCTGTGTGCATTTAGACATATTGTCCATGTGTGTGTTGACCGTGTATGTGTGTATGATATGTATGTATATGTGTGGAATACGACGATCAATAGCAGCTGCAAGATGCATTTGTTTATGGAACGATGAACAAACGAGCGAACTTTCCAATATATTGGAAGTGAGATTGAGAAGAGAGGTAAAAGCGAGTTTACCAATGTAATTGTAAGAGTAAAGAGTAAGTATAAAGAGTAAAAAGTTTTAACATTTTATCCATAAGAGAAAGTGAATGAAGTTTCGCTAGAGTATATTTTACACAAATAGTTACAGAAAATACTCTATGCATAAAACAAAACTTTATCGCTGAAGAGAATACAGTCTTCCGTAAAACGTATGTTATAACCGAATTTATATTATAGCTAATAATATTTTTTGTGTCCAGAACTTAAGAACACTTTGTATTTAAACGGTAATTTTTACGTTACTTTTATTTAGCGGATCACTAATAATAAAAAATTACTAATAAATTCTTATTTATTTTAATAACATTTGAAGATTAGTGTAAAAATAAAACTACGTTTTAACTTTTGTAATTTGAATATTGAAATTTAAATACATTGTTACATTTATAAAATTATATTATTATAATTTAGGATAACAAGATAAACTTTTAAAAAATTTTAAATATTAAAAAAGAAACAAATAATCGTTACTATAGTACAAAATAATTTTAGAAATAATTTTATATTTTGTTTGTATTTTTGTTATTTTCAGAGAAATTAAATTAAATGTAGATAACATTTTTAAAATAGTTTCATAAATAAGTCAAAATATTATTAAAAAAATTTAATTGAAATTGTAAACCAAACTTCTCGAGCATTTATCTCGCAAAATATGTCACATAACAATATTCTCTGTGAACAAAATCAAATAGCAATTACATTAAATTCTAATTAAATCCTGACATATATTAGTTCATAAAATATATATAAATGAAATATTATTTAAATTCTAATTATTTTAATTAGCGAAAAATAAAAGTTTAATTGAAATTTTGCAAAATATATTAAAATTCAAGATATAAAAATATATTACTTTTTAAAACAATTAAAAAGAGTAAACGATGCAACACGAAATGGGACCAATTACATTCGAGTTAATTGCTTCGATTAGAGCGCTAATTCGAGTCGAGGAAATCTGGAACGCTAATTGTTCCATAATTAAAGTAGCCTACTCATAGAAGACGAAGTAAAGTGATTGTACTCGAGCATCGTAGAGTAACGCAAAGTAGAAATATTAATCAATATTATACAATGTTATCCACCTGAAAATATCTTTTCAAAGAGTAATATTCAGATCATAAATCCTGTTCTTAGAATAAAGTTCTTGCACGTAGATTTGAAAGCTTCTTAAAAATTAATTGTTTTACGTGAGCAAATTTTTAAATATAAAATAAAAGTCTTTAATTGAAAAAATCTACGTTTAAATAAATTGACATTTAAAAAATTATGAAACAGTATTTAAAATAATTATTATTAAATAGAGTAGTTTAATAATAAATCTATCACAGTGACCAAATAATAATAATAATAATAATAATAATAATAATAATAATAATAATAATAATAAAAT